CCCTCTCTCTCTCTCTCTCTCTCTCTCTCTCTCTCTCTCTTTCTCTCTCTCGAGGCATCTAGCTCACGCTATCTCGACCCCACCTTCGTGAGACGTCGATCGAACGGCGTGGGGCGTGGCCTGAAGCGCGCCGCCGGACAGCACTTGGGTCGTCTCGCCGATCTGGAAAAGCAGACAGGACGACGACGCCTCCCCGGGGGGTAACGTGGCCTTCACAAGCTCGCCCTTCGGCTCACAAATAAAAAACACGCACGCCACACAACGAGGAACAAGAAGATACGGCCAAGCGTGGAACCAAGTGGCGGTGGGGCTGTAGGGCGAGGCGATGTGTTGAGAAAAAACACAGCAGTTATGGTTCCCTTAACCGCCCAGGGTGTACCAAATAAATGGGTCATATCATACATACGTGAAGCGCTGTGCAATTCACGATGGGAATAAGAATCACATTATTGGCTGGACGATGAAGCGTCTACTGTACTCTGTGTGAGTGTTTCTCGGACTACCAATTGACAGCGCCAATCGAAGCTGCTTACACTGTTTCTAGTCATCGGGTTCGTCGGACAAGGGGGAGGGGGGCTAGACTCTGTCGTGCGTGTGTACTGTTTTCAACGGTGTTCCTTGCGATAGTCATACACCCATTTCCCCCTCCTGGTACTGTATGCATAAAAGTCTACGATCCTGCCTGTGATCGATCGCGGGCTGTCCTTTCGGAGACGAGCCGCAAAGACGGACAAGCAACAATAACAACAACAACAACAACAAGAGCTGCTGCCACAGCATGCCTACTGCATATACCTTCCGTCGGGAGCGTATGTAAAGGCCGCACCGAGGGTCCTCGTTGGCGACCTCTCTGCCCTCGCTGTCGAGGAACATTGCCGGGACCAGACCTTCAGCCGCCGCAAGCACACAGGCACAAACACAGGACCGACGCATCACGCAAAAAATAAAACGCGGATGGAATAATGTGTGGGACTGCAACACGATCCGAGACCACTACCTGAGGTGAAAACATAGATGAATTCAAGGAGAGACAAAAGAGCGTATCGGGGGACTCGAGAGAGCTTGGTGGCGACACACGGGCAAACCTTGTAAGCACCGACAACAACAAACATGAACGAAAAAGGAGAATGAAGCAACCAGCGCAAAAAATCTGAAAACAAAAACGAGAAGCAAGAACAAAGCCACCGATGAAAATCACGAAACCGTCGGAAGCAACAAGCAGACCAAAACGCGAGCTTAAAAATAAACCCCTGTGTCGATCCCCAAGAACTAGGTAGCTGTTCAATAATGTCGTCAGCTTCTATTTGTGCGGTACAAATATCGATGACCTCTTATACTCGTGGGTTTGCACGGTACGGTGCCCGATCAACTCGTTCTGTTTGTACCGAGCTCGAGAAGTGGATAGAACTTCAGGGCGAATTTTCTGATAGGTTAAATTCTTGTACACGCGAGGAAGTTGTAGAATCGGTTGGTTCTCCTCTGGTAGCAGAAACACCTACAAAGGCACCACGCAAGGGACTACTTTTCAGCAGTGCAGGGCAACGCCGAAAAGGGAAATGTACGAGTGTCATATCCATAGTAGTAGCCATTAATGGTAAATAATTCGCGATCTCTTTGCACTGGTTTCAGTTTTTCCAGGAGATCTGCAGCCAGTTGATAATGTCTGTTTGGTACAGCTACGTGCAGAGCAGGATCCTCGGGGGACATTCCTACATATCGATTTTTGTTTCTGGGCTTCTGAGTGGCTACCCTATTTCTCTGAACTACTGTTGCATCGGTGGTCCTGTTATCTTCGAGCGACGGGTCCCTTGAAGGGCCCCATCATCCCATCAGAAGAAGGCGCTCCCATCCACCCTTCCTTTGTTTCTGGCGAATGTGACAATAATCAGCGTCGTGGGTGTCAGGGTCGGGGCACTTGGGGTAGTCACAGTGCCGCTTGGGCTTCGTCCGTGGTTTGTTCGTCTGCGATGACCCCGAGTTCGAGGATGTAAGCCGCACATCCTCGAACTCGGGGTCATCGCAGACGAACAAACCACGGACGAAGCCCAAGCGGCACTGTGACTACCCCAAGTGCCCCGACCCTGACACCCACGACGCTGATTATTGTCACATTCGCCAGAAACAAAGGAAGGGTGGATGGGAGCGCCTTCTTCTGATGGGATGATGNCTGTATCTTGTAATTCGTCGACGCCGATAAGGACACAGGCTTCCCTCGTTGGGGGGGGGCCCAGGTCGCAGTAGTCTTTGCCCACTACTAAGGGCTGGCAGTTCTCTTCGTTGAGATTTCGAGAGGAGAGGGTCTCAAAAGAGAGAGACAAAAGAGAGAGTGCCCCCGAAGCCCGAAGGGGCGAGGGAGACCAAGCCCGAGGGTCTCAGATTCCCAAGCTCCACAGGTGGCGCCAAGAGGGACGCATCCATAGTTGGGTCTCTTGCTGATCAACTATCAGTAAGATACTCCGTTCGGATCGTATGTTGGTCCTACTTTTGTATATGCAACTGCAATGGTTACGGCGCTTCTGCACCTGTCGTCCATAAAAGGGAATAATGTGTTTGCAACACACGATCCAAGATTACTACTTCGAAGCACGTTAGGTAAAAACATAGATGAATTCAAGGAGAGAGAAAAAAGCGTGTCGGGGGACTCGAGAGAGCTTGGTGGCAACACACAAGCAGACCTTGTAAGCACCGACAAAAAAGCAACAAACGAAAAAGAAGAATGAAGAAACCAGCGTAAAAATCTGAAAACAAAAATGAGATATCCATCGATGAAAACCACGCAACCATCGTGAGCAACAAGCAGACCAAAACGCGAGCTTAAAAATAAACCCTTGCGTGTGTGTGTGTGTGCAACACGTGCACGTGTGCCGTCCTCCCATCCCGTCGACGCAATCTCGTACACCCACCTGTGAGCGCGCTGTGGTCGTTGTGCCAGCCGCACCAGTCGGAGAAGGCCCGATCATCATCCCCTCCGCTACCGCTGACGTCATCATCACCACCGCCGCCGCCGCCGCCGCCGCCGCTCGTCACCGCTCCTGCTACCCCTTCTACCTCATGCCTTCCTCCGTCACCGCCGCCGCCGACCCCGCCGCTTGTCCTCTCGGGCGGCGAGCTGCGGGGGAAGTAGTACAGGAGGCGGCCCTTGGGGCAGCGCGAGGTGGACACGATGCGCGACATCTTGCCCTTCTCGTAGCCGGGATGCACCGTAGCGACATACCTTTGGGCGTGCGTGAAATGCACAGGAATGGGGTGGGGAGCTGGGGGGGAGTACTCATAGCCGTGCATGCCGTAGTCGTTAGACCATTGACCTCGCATCCCTAGAAAGCCGGGACGGAGCACGCCGGGTTCTCACCGGGCCAGGCTCTCACATCACCAAGCGCGAAGCGCCGTGAGATATTCGGCCAGTCGCATGAAGGGTGCGCTGCATCCTGCTAAGGGTGTTCGGCATCTTGTGCTTTCTTTCTTGCGTACGGATGACAGCTGCGTATGAATTAATTTATTTTCTGGTGCTTTCACTTCCAGAGACAGTTGTAAGCACTGTGTAACTGCCTCGAGGGTGCTTGACCATTTTAACACAACGTGGTGCGATCATCCCCCTTGCGCGGAGTGAGGGTTCTCCACCCCGCACAACATGATCTACTCGACCACCATTATGGTTACCGCCAAAAACAAACAAACGGTAACCTGGTTGCCGAGTTCACGAAGTGAATTGGCTTGTTTTACAACGTCTTTGCCAGGCGACGAAAACCCTATCCCGATGGCAAACACCGAGGGGGGGCGGCTTGTTTTATAACGTCGTTGCCAAGCGACGAAAACCCA